CCCCCCCCCTTAAAATCAAGGTGGCAATGAATGTGCCTGCACATCAGTCCTTGTTTGTTTGAGTAAATGTATTTATTGTACGAGGGTTTTCCCAAGGAAAACCGAACTTTGGCTGTAATTTGAAAACTATGTAATATTTTCACATTCTGTTAATGCACACTTGTAAAACAATCTTTTAGGAATTTGCAAATTGAGCACCATGAGCATCGCATAAACCAAAAAAACACAGCAGTTCTCCAAAGATGGCTACCCCCTTGGAAAATTGGTCAAGGGTAGAAGTGAGGTCTGTCATTCGTTTTCTGGCAGCAAAAGGTCTCAAACCTATAGAAATACACACTGAAATAAAGTCAGTTTACGGGGAGAATGTAATGACAAAGTCACAGGAATAATTTGAGTGTTGTAGTAAGTTCAAAGTCGGGCATACGGATGTCAATGACAAAGTTCACCCAGGACCTTGTTTTTTCTGCCAAGACTGAGGACAACAAGAATCGCGTTAATGAACTCCTTCAAACAGACAGACGCCTAAAAATTCGCGAAATTTCCGAGTCGCTAAACATTTCAAAGTCAACTGTCCATAGGATAGTGTTTGATGAGCTGCACTATCGAAAGGTCTCTGCTCGATGGATCCCAAAAGAGCTGATAGCTGAACAGAAGACGAAACGTGTTGAAGTGTCTCAGACTTTGTGGAATCGTTGTCGCCAAGCTTTGCGGGACTCATGAACGCATCTGGAGACCTTCAACAATACGATGAAGCATTCCTGAGAAGCATTATTACAGGTGATGAGACTTGGATACCCCACATGACCCCTGAGACGAAGAGGGATTCAATGGTTTGGAAGCACACGTCTTCATCTCCCCCGAACAATTTTAAAGTTCAGACATCGGTGAAGAAACTCATGGTCATGGTTTTCTGGGATGCGAAGGGTGTTCTGCTTCTTGACATTCTGGAACCAGGACAAACTGTTAATGCTAACAGATACTGCAAGGCTCTTGATAGTTGAGAGAGGTTGTTAGCCGAAAAAGATCGGTTGTCCAGCGGGGTCTTTTTGCAGCATGACAACACAACGCCTCACACCTCAAACGCTTCGAAAGGCTGCATCCAAAAGTTCGGCTGGGAAGTTCTACCACGCCTCCCTCACAGTCCTGACTTCGCCCGTGAGATTATCACCTTTTTGGACCAAGTAAATGCCATATTTTTGGACAGCGATTTACCGACGACGAAGATCTCGTGGAAGCCGTGAAAGATTGGTCAAAATCCCTTGACGAAAATTTCTTCAGAGAGGGTATCTTCTCCTTCGTCCAGCGATGGGAAAAATGTGTCCAGCTGGATGGAGATTACACTGAGAAATAAAGCACATGTTGAGGTATAATGTGTTACATTTTTATGATAAAAGGACAAAAATTGTAGCTTTCATTGACCTTTTCCGGTTTTCCGTGGGACAGCCCTTATATGTCAATGTTTTTATGTTGATGCGATTGTATCGGGCAGCGGCAAACAGAGACAAAAAGGACCTTATAATGCATAGATAGAAAGATGGAAAGAAGAGACAGAGGGATAAATAGGGAGATGAAGAGAAAAAGTTCAAAACACAAACAAAACATTAATAGACACACACAGATACGCGTGCTTAAAAACACGCACACTCATGGCAAGGCATTACGAAATCCCCCCTCCCCCACTCACCCTCCCTCCCTCCCCCCCTCCTTCGATCTCTTTCTTTCTTTCTCTCTCTCTCTCTCCATCTCTCTCCCCCTCTATTTCCCCCTCTCTCCCTCTCGCTCTCTCTCTCTCACACCATACACACATGCACACATACACAACCACATGGGCACACTCGATCCCCCCCCCCTCTTCCTTCCGCTACAAAAACACATAATATGCATACAAGCACTAACACATATGCATAGTTAACGAGGCAGCTCTCTAATTGATGTTTTTTTTTCAACATCAATGATGCACCTGTCCGTGAGGTATGGACTCGATTAAGCAAGGACTCAATTTTCTCATTTACTTTGATCAATAGAGCCTATCTGAATTTAACTGCCCACTTCGGGAAACGCAGGTCGTCTTTTCTCTTTCCAAAAGCAAAGAGTTCTGAACTAGGATTTCTTTTTTGGGTTTGTTCACCCCCCCCCCCAAATTTTTTTTTTTTAAATCTAGTTTTGAAAATTTTCTTAGTCACACAGATAATGTGCCGCAGAGAAAGAACAATTGATTTGTGAATGTCGAAAATAATTACATTAAACACGGTTTTGCCATTTGCAAGGGAAGCCTGGGGGGGGGGGGGGGGGGCATACAGCTTCCTGGTTCGATTTGATAATTGCCTGTGGCTTTTTATTTCTGCTAATGTCTATAATGTTGTTCTTCGTTCTGTTCAATGTCAGCAAGCTAGTTGGCGATGCTCCTGCAATTGTATTTTATATTTCGATATTACGCACTGTAAAGTATACTGCATATTCCTACAGATTAAACCTCGATAATGGCTATTTGGACACCCCCCCCCCTTTAAAAAAAGGTAAATTAAATTATTTGAAATCATTAAATTTGGTATTTAAATCTTTTTCAATATCTGTTTAAAAATTAAGTTGCACTGTAAAACAAGCCTTAAAAAAACGACAAATGTATCTGAAATGGACACGTGTTGTAGCCTTTCACTTAACTGAAAACCTGCTGTAAAACAATTGCTGTCGTAAAACAAAATCAATCATTGATGTGTAATTTTTCTTCCCTTTTCAATTGTACCGAAAGCCTAAACAAGCTGTGTTCTTTATAAAACAAATGTTTGAAGTTGGTGTTTCCTGTAACTCCCCAGCTAATTGTACTTTATAACTTGTTTTCCTTAACAGCCAAAGCTAAACGAATGTGCACAGAGAGTGGCGACTGGGACATGCACCCTGATGACGATATCAATTCAACGTGGACAGATTTCTCCGAATGTACGCGGAAAGTCACTTTGGTAGCGCCCATCATAGAGGTGAGCTGAAACTTTTTTTTCTTAAAACACAAAGCTAATGATTCGTGTCTGTTAAATCTGTTAGACTACTGGAAACATCCGTAGGGGATTTAACACCAATGTCCCTTGTCACCATTCTTCATACTTTGACTGAAACCCGGAAGGCCAAGATCTACTACCCGATTACCTGCTTCCATTTTTTTCTGGTAACCAATTGCTCAGACAAGGAACCAGCTTCCACATATTTAAAAACGACATACTCTCTGTTTAACCAGACACATTATCAACACATGGCTATACTAAAACAAATCAAACACCGGGTTGTGCCTAGTTAGCGTTGCCACATGTCTTTCCTCTCTTCTTATTTCTCATCAAGAGTGTTTATTGTACGAACCAGGGGCCAAATGAGTGATAAAATAGCTGAACTTACATTCCTCGTAAACTGATTTCTGAACGCGCCTTTACGTACTCCAAAGTCAGTTTAGGTGTAGCGCCAATACTGTTATCAGCCTTGCTGCCGTAATTAGGGAGGTGAACTTGGCTTTCTACTGTAACTCAGTTGTCAGTTTATGTAGGAGTCCAGTTTCTGCTCACATAGTAATATTAATGCGCTAGATCCTTTGAACTTGAAAAGGCTAAGCGTATTAATATCACCATAAAGTTCGAGGCCCCTGAACTATCATGGTATGTTTCAGTCTTCCCAAAATTACACTCTTCTACTTTGATGCTGATGGGGCTAGAGCTAGCTTCAAGTGGACTATGAAGGGTTCAAGTAAAATGTTCTAAAAATATCACAAGACGCTTGCTTCAGGGACCCATTTACAGCTTCTGAGAGAGCCTTACCTTGCTCTTTATACTCACTTTTAAAAAGCATCCTTCCAACGACGAATGCAGCAGTCTGGCGAAGCGTAATCTATCCGTACATTTGTCGCCGTTTTATTGCAGGGTCTGTAAAACGTTGCCGTAAATCATAAGCAGAAGAGGCAGGTCTCATTTCCCAACCGAGGGCGGGAGCGCACCGTGCATTTTACGGCATCCGTGGCAGTGACGGGACGCCCTATTGATTCTGTTTTCACGCACACAAGATGCTCATGCGTTTTGTAACCTCATTTCAGAAAGAGTCACAAATAGGATCTTTCAGATGTAGGTTATGCTTAATAGGAAAGTATAATTAAAATTCTTTCTTACGGACGAGATCTTTTAAATGGAAAAATACTTTTAGAATGTAGCAGACTGAAAGTTTCAACCCCCCCCCCCCCAACCAAACCTGTGAATTGTGGCGTTCGCAGAACATCCTGTAAATATTTAACTGCGTATCTCAATACTGAATATGAATGACATTTCCAAAAATTATTATTCTCACCAGACAAAACTACATACAAGGCACTCGTCTGCGACTGCTACCTTTTTTCAATTTGACACTCGTACTGCTTGATTGATTTTGTTAGTTCAATTCATAGCCCATTTCCTTTTGGAGAATAAAACTACTCTAGTTTCTTGTATTCTATGTATCCACTCGTTTTCTTTATCATATTTGAAGATAAAAACAAGAACAAAAATAAAAACATCAACAACAACAAAAGTAAAACAAAATAAAAATCGTTCATGAACTCCTGAAGTTGTCTAAGAGGGGGCATCCCTACAAAAATGTTGAAGGCTTCGAAAAGCAATGTTGAGAGTGCAGCTGATACCTGGAGTCATCACCCTGCAGATAGGACATGTTTCAGGTTCAGACTCACAGCCATAAATTGCCCAGCTTAGGTTTTGGAGAACGCCTTATCTAGGCGAGGTGGCAGCTATGTCCCTGGGCGATGTATGGCTGCATCTTGTAAGAAAAATAAAGCGGAGGGAAAAAAACCTTTTATACGTTGGAGCGGACAGTTTAAAGTTACGCATTATTACACCACGCCGTAGTTTTGAGACTCTTTCTACACTGACTAGCAAGCCATCTATGCTGATTTTTGTAGTTTTTTATTTATTTTTTTTAAAGCTATACCTTCGTTTTCAAAAACCATACATTGTCTCTTCAGACTTGAATGTCAGAAA